AAAAAAAAAAAAAGCACTAAGCAAGAACACAAAACACATGCTTGACTAGAATGACCTTATTAACACTTTAGATTAGCTAATTTTGTTGAAGTGTATTTGATAAATCATTAATTGTATGATAAGTGAAAGTAACTAAACTTGTAATTCTCTGTATAAAAAAACTTGTGTGGACTTGTTGGATGTTATCGGATTGATATAAAATTAGCGGATTTGATTTCATTTTAGAGGTTTGACGCATCGAATTGGCTAACTTGCTTGTTTGTTAAAGAACTTATGTGATTAATTTTGTCTAAGCCTAAAACGCTAGATAAATCTATCAAAAAGAAACTCAATATATGATTGTTTTGAGAAAAAAAAAAATAAATTATTCAAAGACAAACATACCAATAAAAAAATTTCACAATAACTATACCAACCGCTATTTACCTAGCAATTATTAACAAATTGTTGACGCAATTAATTAGTCAAATCAACTATTTCAATTCGCTATCAGTTATAACGTATAAGTTTTATCCTCGCAAATAGCCAAACAACAAGGCCTATATATATTGAGCTTTTTTCAACTAGATAGATAGAAATTAAAAAAATAATAAAAAAAATAGAAATTCTCATAGCTTCAAGTCAAACCGAACCGAATTGTTCGGCAATCTCGAATACCGAATTTAACCGAATAAGAGAATATAAATCTGCAAACAGAATCGTCCCAATTTTTGGAACGATCCCAAAGATTGAGCTTTATAGTATTCTCCAAATTACGATACGGTAACCGAAGTATCTAAATTTCCGAATCGTATAAAGTAATGCTTAACCCTACTATTTACCAAACAAAAGAATTAGATGTTTTGACTGTCAAAAAATTTAATTCACCCTCAAATTTATAATTTGCCCCTAATTAGCATAGCTAGAAGCCTAGAATTACTTTTGCCCTAGTCAAAAAAATGGTGAAAATGCTCGAGGACTACTTTCTTGAACGATATTAATTACACACCTCATAGTGTGAAATGAAACCATAAATGGAATATTAGAGAAAAACATGGCATTGATAATTAAAGACATTACTAGTACTAATACCCATGTACAACATGGGTATTGAGTTAATGAATATATGTGTAAAGTTATTTATGTCTAATACCAAACCTAACTCCAAAGCAAAAATAATATAAAAACAACATCACGAAGCATAGATTTTCGTCATGTCAGCATCCGAAGCATGAGAATCAACCACCTAGATCAACACGTTTTGAATTAATATACAGGGAGAGATATTAAGTAGCTAGCTAGGTTAAAATATCTCATCATATATGATCATGGTATATATATATATAGTCTATAGATAATCTCTTCTGACGTCACTATCATGCATGTCATCTCCTCTAATCACTCACTCGCTTTGTAGCTTCCCCACATACACATGAACTCAGATACCTTACTTTTGATATTCCCTCATCCCACGTATTATACGGCACACAACACGTAAATACGAAAACGAGCAAACGAACATTAAAGAAAACTAAAGTAAAAAAGAAAATTAAAATCACAAAGGACCCAAATCAGTGGAGATCGACTGTGGTCCTCAAATATCCCTCTCCACCTTTCCTCTCAAAATTCTCTCTCCCTCTCTCCTCAATTGAGAAATTATTATTTTATTAATAATGGAGGCCAATATATATAAAAATGGCACCGAACACCAAAACCATAGGCCCATGAAAGACAAAAAGACGATGAACAACAAGAACACGATTAGTGGCGGAGAACAAGAAGATATCGAGCACGATATCATGGGGGCCGACGGAGGCGGGAGGAAGAGGGCGGCGGCCGCCGCCGCCAAGAGGGCCGGCGGGAGCTCGATGAAGAACTGCCAGGTGGAGAGGTGCCTGGTGGATCTGAACGAGGCCAAGACCTACCACCGGCGGCACAGGGTTTGTGAGCACCACGCCAAGGCTCAGGCGGTGGTCGTCGCCGGAATCCGGCAGAGGTTCTGCCAGCAATGCAGCAGGTTTTCTGTGGCGCGTACCTCTTTTTTTTTTTCTTTTTTCTTTTTTTTATATAATATTTGCACCTTTTTTTATTTTCTTTTTTTGAAGTGACGCATTTTATTTACGTTTGACGTGGCCCTGACAATGTGTTTTTTTTTTTTTTCTTGATTACATTTTGCTTTCTGAGATATTTGGGTTTTATTTTATTTTATTTTATTTTATTTGTTTGGTTCGACTACGTGGCACATTGTATCGTGTCCCCTATAGGCCTATATCGGTAATTTGGTTTTGACTTGTATTTTTGTGTAGTGTTTTATGTAATGAATAAAATGTAAATAGGCCAAATTAATTTGTTAAATTAATCATCATGTCTTTGAAAATTGAAGTAAGATAACCATGTTTTTTTTTCACTTATATATTTTTGAAATTAATTGTTTTTAGGTAGATTAATTTCACTCTACACACAACTGTAGTGTACGTATAAATTGAATTTTTCACGGTTGGATTAAACACAGTCGATATATCTCCACTTCTAGGGTGTTATCAAGCCCAAATTAATTAAAATAACTAAGTTATAGAATTAATTAAGTTATAATGTGAGGATTATGTACACGCACGACGGTATGAATATTGAGCTCATGAGTAATTAAATCTATTAGTTAAAAATTTAGGGTTTATATATATATATATATATATATATATATATATATATATATATATACTCATGAGGTGAGGAAAATACATGCAAGAAATTCCTTTTGTTGCAAGTTTGAGGAATATGTTATATGATCTTGACTAAAAATAATAAGCATCTCTATATTTTATAGTCCATTTTGACAATATGTAAATGTACAATTAGATTCTTGATTCCTCATTGACACCATATATTTGAAATTTTCTTTTTTTTTAAAAAAAAAAAAAAAAAATAGATTTAAATTTTGTTCTGTTGAAAATCACGAGTAAAATACTGGGCCTAAACTCCGGGTCAATAATGTCGATCGGGTCTATATGCCCTTATCGGCAAAAATTCTGACTTGTAGATTCCCTTTTCAAGTTGGGACTGGTCCAGTTAACGACCGGTACAATTTCTAATTAACTTTACAATTACATGACTTGTTCACTATCAATTTCTTTTTGACATAGCCATATAGCTATTAAAATTGTGAATATGACTCGTTAAAGTTCGAATTTGGTTTCGGCTCGTTTGATAAACGAGTTGAGCACAAACTCATTTAAAGCTCAGTTCGTTAACGAGTTGAGCCTCAGTTGATTAGTTCGTTAAGGCTCGAAAGATTTTTTATTTTTTTCATAATTTTTTATAACTCAGTTCGTTAAAGACTTTAATTTGTCCTAATAAATAGTTTTCTACACGTGCGCTCTAAATTCGTGTTAGTAAAAAGGTTTTTCAGTGTAAATTAACTCTAAAATTATTGGAAAAGCTATTTGATTTATTTATTTGAGCCTTGAGGTATATATATTCCCTATAAATCCTAGGTAAATTGATATTTATACTAATTTCGAAACAATTTTGTTCGTCTAATTCTCGTGGTTAATTTGCAGGTTCCACGAGCTCTCGGAGTTTGACGAAGCCAAAAGAAGCTGTCGCAGGCGTCTCGCCGGCCACAACGAGAGGAGGAGAAAGAATTTTTCCGATAGTAACAATTTTTCTCAAGCAACCGAAGGCTCGCCGGCCGGTAATTATGGGCAAGTTGATGATCGGGGAAGAATTCAGTTCACCGTCGTTCAAGAAAATGCAAAGTACTAATAAAACATGAGTATAGTTATGCAATAATACGCAAGCTAGCTCTCTCTCTTCTGTCAGCCCTACTACAATATTGGCAATATTAAAGTTATTATGCTAAGTAAAATTTAGTGGCAAACCTATATCTAATTAATTAATGTTGAGGACCATATGCTATATATATGGCTGTGCCACATTGTGTGATTCCAATCTGCTATATGTGTATCGCCTATTGAATTGAGTGGTTTTATTTTGAGATAAGTTCACGTTACGGTACCATTCCGTCGGGTGTTTTGATTGTTGGATCCACATGTAGTTAGATAAAGTAGACGATCCAACGATTAAAACACTCGACGGGATTGTATCGTAACGGGACCGTAGCATTCCTTTTACTTTTACATTCTCTTAATTCATTATAAGTATGCCTAATAATTTATTTATTTATTTATTTGTTTATAATATTTTTCTCTGAGAACAGTATATGTATGTGGATGCATTGTTGGTATGATTTAAATATAAAATTTGTTAGTAGTTGAATTGACTGAACACAAAGGGCTAGCCAACTTTGAACCGTCAAGTAAGATTCTTTATACTAATAATTCAATGTTAATAGTTTATGTCACTTAAAGCTAGTGCCTACTACCACATAATTATTAATATAAACTTGTCAAATTCCAATAACAATATATTTTCAACCGAATTATTCGAGCAACAATTTCAATATTGTCACTTCTGTTGAAAAATTCCAATGACTATAAGTGATTATTTGTTGGAATTTTTGTTGAATTTGTTACGACATTCTAACAATAATTCTTAATTTTCAATGGAACTTATTTGGCGAGAAAAAAAATTCTACCGAAAATTACGCATTCCAACAGAAATTTTTACTATAATAAAACATTGAATAATAATAAAGTCATGTTGAAATCATCAAATTCGACCCAAAATTTAATTTGAATGAAAGATTTTAGTGTTGACTTCTATAAATTCCAATTGAAGTGATAATATAAATATTTCTATGAATTATTACTATTAAAATATTTGTTTTACTGATTTTTATGTGTTGGATCGAATTTTATATTGTTTTTAGACGTGTTTTATGACGTAGTTATAGTTTAATGCAGAAAGGATTTGTCAATTAAGATGGAGTGGACTGGTTAATAGTATTGATTATTGACCAAATCACCAGCTAATTGAGGATAATATTGGGACACGTACGATACTACTTTGTCCCATCAGCTTTAACATCTAATTAAACGAGTTGTTCATATTATTTTCTTTCAGGAAAATAGGAAAAAAAAGGTTTTTTTTGTCCTTTATCTACTAACCGTTTTTAATTTGGTCCTGTAAATAGACCGTTTTAAAAATAGTCGTCCCCTAAGTGAAAAAAAAAATCGTTTTTTGTCCTATGACCGCCTATATCAGGTCCATGTGACCGGCTGCCGGCTGGGCTATGTGGAAATTCGCCTATTTTTTTTTTTTTTGCTGAGTTGTAATGTCACGTGACGCTTATGTGGAATAGTTTTTTTTTTTTTTTTTTTT